TGAAACTAGAGAGAGAGATGGGAGGGGCTCTGGTTGAGGCCGGCCACGGTGAGCTCAAAGCTCGGCGGTGCTCCCGGTGATGGCTGCAGCGGTGGAAAGGAATCGTAGGCCTTTACCTTGGCTCGGACAAAGGCGCAAGTAGGTCGGGGAGGTGGGGAAGGAGATGGCGGAGTTGCTGGCGAGAGCTATGGGACGGCGGTGCTACGGTGGCAGCGAGAGGGAGCGAATAGAGGCGAGCAGCAGAGGCGCATGCCTTTTCTCCCCACGCTGGCCTGACTGGCCGGGCCGAGGCCGGAGTACGGCAACCACGTGGCGGCCACGGCCTGTGGCCGGTCGGCCACGACGCCACGCGCGTCCACCCGATTAGAGTCGCGAACGAAGCCTGACAGCGCTGCTTCATGGTGATATTACTCCAAATCCGTTTGTCCACTGCAAAAACTTTATTAACCAAAGTTGTAGAACTACATGTAATCTACAAATTTTCTTTAGGAAGTATCCCCTAATTCACAATGGTTAGCTAGTTACAATGCTCACAAGTGAGGTACATTGAAACTATAAACAACATTATGACTTAGAAAAATTTGCAAGTCTCATAACAACATTTCCTTGCTACTTTGGACCTATTTTTGGAACATGTTAGGCACTGAATTAGGTCTTAAGCCAAAAATAAAAGTTGTTATCCTAGTAAAGTACTACAACTTTTATTTAGATCACACAGCCATGCAAACACTCTAAGCTACTATTCAACTTTGGTCAAACTAGTATCATAAAAATGGTATTTCAAATGAAACCAACGCTTAGAAGCAAATTTGGCCTATGTCATAAATACAAATATTGTTCCATTTATCATTCTAGATGTGTCTAAGGTGTTTTTATGACCTCCCAACCATTTCATACATTGGTCATACATGATTGCAAGCATAAGCATATATATAAAATCAACATTTCATGTGATAATGTATAAGAATGAGATGAAATTTCATATGCTCATGTTCATGAATGCTTGGATGATACTTGTGCTCATGAAATGCAGATGCCAAATGCAATGCTTAACACATGGGTGTTACATGCACCACGGGGGATGGTGGTGGTGGCGCACCGGAGTGGGCCACGGCGCGAGATGGAGGCGTCGCGAGGGATGGCGGCGGCGGCGCGGCGGAGCGGGGTGGGTGGACGGCCACACGACAAACGAGCGTAGAGTGGGAGATGAGCGCAGAGTGAGGAGATCTATTTTTTTCGGGTCCAGACGGATGGACGCTCGAGCGTGAGCATTATCGAACTGCTAAACATCCAAATAATCTAAAAATCCAAATAATTACCATGCCACAATGCAGGCTTGCATCCTAGTTCGTGTTTGCTTAACACCAGCAGTCACGCACCATGCTAGAGCCTGGTTCTTGTGCATGATGTAAACTTACAATAAAATATGCTGATAAATTCTGGCATATATAGAACTGATGTTTCGCTTAAAAAAACATATATCTCCTACAACTAAAAAGACTAAAAGTAAGACTATTTTTTATGTGATTTTTTGGGTCGCTCCTCCCTTCCGGCCATGTGATACCCCGCGCGATAGAAAAAGAAACTGCCATTTCTATGATCCCCATCTGCTTTGAAGGAAACAAATCGATCACCTGAGGCCACATGTATGTAAGGAAACAATAATCATGCATGGAAGGAAACAATTGGCAAAGATCAAGCAAGACTCCTCTGTTCCGACCATGTGATACCTCGCGCGATAGAAAAAGAAATTGTCATCCCTGCGATCCCCGCCTGCTTTGAAGGAAACAAATCGATCACCTGGGGCCACATGCATGGAAGGAAACAATAATCATATATGGAAGGAAACAATTGGCAAACATCAAGCAAGACGACTCAATGAGGTTGTCCCTTAATTTTAGTGTTTCTAGCATGCAGACCTAAAATTAAAAAGTGGCTGCTCCTTGAGAACATCAGTGGTGCCAAATAAAAGATGTGCAGGTTATACATGGTGAGACTGGTAAACCTTCTGTAATTTCATAAACGAATATTTGCACCATTCGTATATAGATCTATTCCCATGTGTTTCTTCGTGCTCCAATTAGCATATAGTATGAAAGTATTATTGTGTTCATCACGACTTCCAGTTGACTACTTCCATTAGCATATACTTTCTCTGCCCCAAAATATAAGTCGTTATGGGATGTGTGCAGGTCAAACTTTCTTAACTTTGACTAGGTTTATAAATAATACGTGCATCATTTAACAATCAATTGGTCGACTCCTGAGGCCACGTGCATGTAAAAAATATCTGTATTATAATTGGTCGAAATTAAAAAAAATTGACTTCTCAAGAAGCGAGAATGAATTCTATTTTGGACAGAGGGAGTATATGAAAGCAGTGTTGAAAATATTTTAATAATCAAGTTCGTCTCTGTCTGATTGGTAAGCTTAGACATCATAATGACATCAAAATTTTTAACTCTCATGGACACCCTCATGGATCAGTGCAAAGCATCCTAATCATACAGCATACACAAATGGCAACCTTAAAGATCATATTAGACGTTCTGGCATTAGAGTATATACGTGCAGACACATAGGCATGATGGTGCAAGTGAGCAGCCAGCAGTAGTCGAGAGTTAGGGGGTGTTTGAATCCCAGGACTAAACTTTAGTCCTTGTCACACTGAATTTTTAAATATCAATTAGGAGGACTAAACATGAGCTAATTATAAAACTAATTACATAAGTTGTGGCTAATTTGCTTGTCAACGCCGTGTACAGGATGGTATGGAGATGTGGAGGAACTTATTCGTGGATTTGTTAGCGCACGAAAGAAATAGATATCAGAAATCTCTTCCTGCCGGTATAAAAAATGATCTTAGCTGCATCACGGAAAGATCTACACAGTAGAGTTTGTGAGCCTGAGACGCCATGCTCTCTGTGACTATGTTAATTTCACGAACTTAGCTTTTTGAATTAAATGTCACTTTATCGTCGGTCATATACTTTTACAGTATTGTTATCTTATCGTACGATCCGTGTGTTTTTAGTACAAAAGTTTAGTTGTCCCGTAGCAACGCACGGGCACGAACCTATTTACGTATATACTCGAACCTGTGTGTATATGATTATATGGAGATGCAGTGAAACTTATTCATGGATTTATTGGCGCATGAAAGAAATGGATATCGTAAAATTCTTTCTACCGATATAAAATATTATCTTAGTCGTATCACGAAAAAATCTATACAGTAGAGTTTGTGAGCCTGCGACGTCGCGCTCTCCATGACCGTTAATTTCACGAACTTTGCTTTTTGAATTAAATGTCACTTTGACGTCGGTATTTAATTTAACAGTATTGTTATCTTATCGTGCGATCCGTATGTTTTTAGTACAAAAGATTTAGTTATCCCGTAGTAACGCACGAGCACGCTACCTATTAGAGGAGAAAAAACTCAAAACGACAGACGAGATATATTGGTCTCCAATCGCGTCGCATTTGTAATCTACATGCCATTACAACAATAGAATGGTGTGCGTTGGAGGTGATCACCCAATGGCTCTAACCTAAGCAAGGAAGCATTGACAATTAACAACCCGTTAAAAGACACATCTTGGTCCGCTCGCGAGAGGTTCTACTGCAGCCCGTCATCATCGTTGTGAAGCAGGGCCACACTGCAGATTTGTTAGCGCTGACGCCAAGACGTTGTCCCCCGGCGAAGCTTCTGGCGAACTCCGCAGCTCCTCCTCACCGGCGCCTCGGCGTCCGCCGCCACGAAGCGAACCCCGCCGGCCGCCGTGACCGAGCACCTTCTCCCCGACGGCGCCCATCCGCGTCTTCTCTCTCGCCACGCGCGCCGTCTCTCGCCTCGCCGCGCGCCGTGGGCCTCCATCACCTCTCATGGTCGCGGTTCGTCATCATCGCCCGCCGCCGCCGGGAGCGGGCGGCGACCGATGAAGCGTTTCGACGGAGGGGCGCCCACTGCGGACGGCTTGCCGGTGGCGGAGAAGACGACGGCGGCGCCGCAGAGGAGGGAAAGCTCCGAGGCCTTCTTGAAAAACCCCGACTTGCACTCGGAGAAGGTCACCATGCGGCTCTTGGGGTCCTCGATGAGGACCAGCTCCCTGCGCCTCCGCCCCTGGCTTGTCTTTCCAGTCTGGCGCGGCGACACCATCGCCGCGGCCGTTTTCTTGGTCCCGTACTACCCTCCCTCTCGCGCTCTTAGAGCAACTCCAACCGAACTCTTAATTAAGCCCCCATCTTATTTTGAGAGTTCAAACATATTAAAAACCTCTCCAACCGAATCCCTATTCAAGGCCCGATGGATGAGGGACTCTCATTTCTCTCTCTTAAACCCCTAGATGTAGGAGTCCCTCATCCTCTCCCTCATCCTGCTTTCTCTCTTGCATAAAGTTGACAAGTGGGACCAATAAACAGGGTCCATGACAATACTGTATAAAAGTAGAAAAAATTAGGAGATCGGTTGGAGTACCATGAGGAGTAGGGGATGAAATATGGATGATGGACTCTCATTTGCAGGAATATGGGGGCAAAATTTGAGGGATTAATTGGAGTTGCTCTTAATAACGAAGGAAAGAATAGCGATGGGGAGGATTGCCGTTGGGGACTGGTGAGGAAGGCGTGTATTTGTACTTGCACATGAGGATATTACAAACTCAAATATGGAAGGCTCCGGGCAAGGACGCTGCGGTGGAATTCGACAACCAGACGAGGATATCCCAAACCAATCATGGAAGGCGTCGAATTCGACATGGATTCGACAACCAATTGGTCGATTTAAAATTGGATTGTTTTCCTCTCTTTTTTTTAAGCCGGAACTCGGAAAACCTTGTAGTACAAACTACGATTGATCGATTCAGGGCCTGCGCGGTCCGCTGCTGTTTCCTCGTCATCGGTCATCGCCGATTCGCCGTCGCCGCCGGCTACCAGATTACGAACCTTAGTCGATCTAGTTGCGCACGGGCGGCCCACCAGTTCGATGCTCGCCAGTCGCCATGGGGATCCGATCATCAGATCAGCAGGTCTCCTCGATTCTCCCTAGCTGGGTAGTGGTAGACCAAGGTATTGACCGCAAGGCGCTCGCCTCCTTTCGCCACGACGACGACCCTAGCACGGCGGAGGCTCGCGCCAGCAACGGCGAGATCGTCCGCGTGTCGTTCACCGTGCGCCCGCTGCCGGGTGCCTCCCGCCTCTGGGTCCACTGGCCGGAGGGCCGCAAGCCGTCCGGCTGGAACAGAGTCGTGGCGGCGCACGGCAACGCCGTACTCTTCCGTCTCGAGGTCGACTTCGAGGACTCCCTCATCGTGCTCCGCGATCGACCACTTCATCTACTGGGCCAGCCCTTCCGGTCCCTGGATCTCACTTCTCCCACGCTGGTACTCGACCGAGGAGGAGATAGAGGCAGCTCCGGTGGGCTCCTGGCGGAGAAACTCATGGATGACACTAGGCCGCAGAGGCACCGGCCTGCTGCTGGATTGTGATACAGGAGATTTCGTGGTGGCGGAGCTCCATCTCGATCTGGACAGGCTCGAAGACGTGGATGCACCTCTGGAAGCGCAGCTCTTGAGGCTCTGCTCGGACAGGGGGAAAATTGCTGCAGGTGCTGCTGGAGAGTGGGAGTGGGAGGTTAAGCACGCAGGGGCCCGTGGGGGCAAGGCTAAGTTCAGTGACTTGCTCTGCTGGTGGGAAGCTTCCATGGTTGTCCCTTACCGCAGTTACCTGTGCTGGGTTGATTACTCAAGGGGTGTCATCTTCTGCAACGTCGGCCACAGTAGCCCGGACCTCCAGTACCTCTCCTTGCCGGTGGATCAGTTGGCTGTTGGCTGGTGTACGAGAGGAAAATACTGTCCCAGCTGAAAACACTGTTCATGCGAACAGTGCCTCAGCCAGCACTCCAGCCGAACATGCTCTGTTTCCCGTCGGCTATCCTGACCATTTCAGCAGAGGATGGCCGCAGGCGTCCCGGGCTGTGTGCGTTACCAAGAATGGAGCGATGATGAAGTTTATCAACATTGCACGCAGCGATGGGATGCTATCTGGCGAGAGTGAGCATGGTTGCAGATTCACTATCACCGTCTCCACGCTGATGCACCATGGCCAGGACGATATGGGGTGGGTGACGGACACCACAATTCAAGCTGCTCAACTCTGGGATATGGAGGGTTACGATGATCAACTTCCCTGCGTTGTGCCGCAGTTCCCTCTGGTGAGCATGGATGATCCCAACACCATCTATTTTGTGCTCAAGGAGAGGCACACGGTTTCGGCATGGGTGGTTGCCCTTGACGTAGATAGCAGCAAGGTTTTATGGTATAAAGATATCCAAGCCACCCCTTCTGATGAGGACGCTGAAACGGCCCCTAGCAACATCTTCTGCAGCTTGGCTTTCTTTCCTACCGAATTCACTAAGCATCTGCAGAAGGCTGCCCCTGTGCCCCCAGGTAATTTGGTGATCACTGGTCATGCATACACATCTAAAATAGGAAATTATTATTATTCCTTCCACTCTGTTTCATACAGAGAAGTAATTGGTCTTGTGCAACCTGCGCCCTGGTTGGCGATATGTTTACCTTTCTAGTAGTTCTAATAATATCACAAAATCTTGATGCTTGCCTTGCCAACCCAATTCATTGCTTGATCCATTTATCTTGTATTTGGGCATCTCTTGAAAGTTTGACATTTGTACCATGTTTGCATGAATGATTAGATTATTTTTAGAAGTTGATGAAGACAAAGGTCACAGCCTAATTTTTTTTTGTCAATTTTGCTTTAGTGTCTGTAACTGGAAAATATTTTTTCCCCTAGCGATGCCAATGTGTTATCATTCCAAAATTATTTGACCAAAATATTGATATATATTTTCACTGTTAACCTCTTAATCTGGTATATCTTCAAATAGACAGGAGTAAAAAAAATATTGTTGCTGTTGGAGTATGCATAAGTATTTTAGACACAGAATGTATGGACCAACATGTAGCTGAAACGTAGTATGAGAATCTGAAAATGTAGTGCATTCCTTGGTTTTCCCTAACCTTCTTGGGACTAAAAGGCATTGTTACTGTAATCTCTTTTGACCTGTGCAATTTTAGGTTTCTTCTTAGTACATAAATGTGACTAATTGAAATTTTCTAATAAAATTCCAAAACTAAGTTTGATGTATAATGATATGTAACATTCGGTGTGCTGTTTCACCGGGGCTCTTCTGTTGTTGTTGAAGGCCCGAACAGGTGGCCAGAGGGGGTGTCTGTGCATGGGAGCCCCAAAAATACTTCACAACAATTGGGGCCATGAGAGGGGCATTTGCAGCGCTTTTCCCTACATGAGCTTCTAGCCAAGCCTTCTATTTGCCAACTTCTAGAACTTGGATATTTATTACTAACAATAAGGCATGAGCAATGTTATATATGCTAAAATTAATTAGCTTATGAAATCGAAATATATTCAGAAGTTTGTGAATCCTCTCTAAACTTTCTTTTTATGGAGTCCTTGGAACTGGCTAGATATGCTTAGAGATTTATTCATCTGCCATACATGTTATGGACGGATGGTGAGGTCTAAAAGTAATATGAAGCTCAAACATGAGATAGACATAGACCCAACAAAGTCAGATCTCTGGTTCAAATATAATTTATGTTTTCAGCTGAGCACGCAGTAAGAATAGTGTTACTCATCTGGGTCAAATTACCGCTTGTCTGAATTCTTCTTTGTGGCCACATCTGAAAATCTTTGTAATCATGCTTAACACAGCCACATTGAACAGACTATGAATTCACTCTGTCTCTCTGTTCTACGGATTTTGTCAGCATGTTTTAGTTCCTGTCTGAACCAAAAAAGTGTTGAACAGATTGTTAATGAACTATGCTTGAGATTTATCTTTCGTCTCATTGAAGTTATTGTTAGTTTTTGTTTGGCAGGATCTCTTGGGAATAATGCTATATGGCCATATGGGATATGTTCCTTGCTTTCCTGAAAATAACTATGTAGATTTCAGTTTCCGTTTGACCTGACCAAGGTTGCCCAAGCAGTAGCTTCAACAGTTTTGTAAATATCCTTGGAACTGAAACTGGGGTTAAGGTTCAGTTCCAATAAAGAAGTTTGCATGTTTGTTTGTTTTAAAAAAATGTCCGCATGTGTTATGAATAGACTGAAGACTATCTTGAATAGAAGTAATAGTTACATGTTGCTATTAGTGTGTCGTTATCTGATCACTAGATAGTCTATCTAGACGACCAAGTGGACCATAGCTCTGGCTGTGAGAACCAAGTTGGTTGCCATCAGTGCAAAAGTCATGCTCATACTATCGAAAGATAGCATCAGTGTGAACAAATTGTTGAATGGCCTTTGGCAAAAGCCCAGTACAGGGATGGTAGTTTTGTGGGAAACTATGAGCCTCTGGTCTGTCTACAATGATGTAATGCTGAGCAGTGAACTTATTACTCACAATACAGTTGGAGCTAGATTGGATCTTTTCATTTGGTTATTGTGGGGGAGAAGTACTTCATTTTTTACTTCCAACACATCCTATTTGTTTGATAACACTGTTTGGTTATACTCGAAGCTTACGTGTGCACAATCCAGTTTTTACTTGGTTATATTAGAAAGAATGTGTGCACAATCCTTTTTTTTAAAAGTATAAAAGGATATTAAATACTGAAGGGTTTTATGAGAAGTAATGGCTGAAGTAGCTAAGGTACACTTGTCAAGGACGAAACAATGCATGCTTAGCTTTCATATAGCAGTATGCAATTTTAGATAAGTGTTTGTTTAATCAGTTGTCACTTAATGATCTACTGTTAATTGCTTTATCGTTAGGCAGACAAGGTTCTCCTGGATGATGGAGCAAGGAGGCTGCCATTTTCTGCATTTGCTTTAGGTGAGTCCCTTGGCTGGTGTAGCTTCCGGTTTCTGTAGTCTCTAAAGGGAGTAGATTGATAGCTGGTGTAACTGTACAGTTTGTGGAAGTTCTGCTGCTCAGAAAAATGCAGTATACTATGAAGTTATTAGAATCCTGATTTCATACGTGACATTTTATTCCTATAGTTTGGTTCGTTTTCTTATGGTCTTGAAATCACTTGGATAACTGTTAGAACTTATTTGCTGAGCCCATGCTTTTTCAGGATTTATTCACTTGTACTTTTTGCATATTGCATTACCAAGATTGGAAGGGAATAGTATCGAAAGGTGGTTGTAGTTAATCAGCCAACTCCAGTTTAATGCATAGTTTGCTTGATTATTGGACTTTCTTGTTTGCTCCAATACTTAGAAAATATGCAGTAGTTTCTGCTCCCTCCATTCGAAATTTTGAGACGTTTTGGCTTTAAACTTTGCTACAGGATTGCTCAGTTGCTGAAATGAAAAAAGAGAAATTGGCATATTACCTTCAGAAGATGGTCAAACGAGGGCATGCAAAATCAGTTGAGAAGACTACATGACATTCTGTTCAGATGCAATGTAAATAATATTTCAGACAGAGCAAGATGGGAATGGGAGATATCGGGTACCTTTTCAGTTAAATCAACTTATAAGCATCAATGCAAAGATGAGCTAGGTCACAAGCTGTTGAGCTCTAGCTAGCCAATTTGGACAGAACGTTTCAATGTCGATGTGCAAGCAAACGTTTCGAATTCAGACGTCGAGATCAAGACAAGCTATCACCAACATTCGAGCAACAATCCAAAGGAACATCTCACAAGCTGAACCCTAAACCCTCAAAAGTTGATTTAACCTTTGGTGCGCCGCAAAGGGGTAAAAGAACTGTATGCTACCTTGAGCTGCACCACAAGGCAAAGCAAACTTGAAAAACGAGCAGCACACATAAAGCCAGGATCAGACAAATTCGCCAACGAGATTATCAAGTGCCACTCTAGGACACACAATTCTCAATCTTGCCCGGTGGAACGCGCGGTAGCGGCGGCGGAAGGCGGGATCGGAGATGCCGTGGCGCCAGGACTTGCACACGAGGGATGCGCGGACGAGGCACGCCGGCTGTCCTGCCGGGAGGCGGAGGAGGATCTCGCCGACGAGGTCGTCCACCAGCTCCGGCGCCGCCATGACGCTGGCCTCGCCGCTTCTAGCGGAAGCACCGTCACTGGACTCGCTGACGGGGACGGCCGTCGGCTCCATGTCGCCCGGCCTGGGTGGCAGTAGAAACAGGGCGGCGTAGTTTGATGGAGGAGCAGCGGCGGCTCACGCAGATTGTTGAACTGGACCGGCACTGTCGTGGTGTGTATAAATAATAAATAAATGAGTTAAATACACTAGCGACCTTTAAACTTATGGCTCTTTGCCACTTAGGTCTACGAACTCTCAAAATCGAAATCTGCTTCCCTAAACTTGTTAAAGTGTGCCACTTAAGTCCATACCCCCTTCAGAGGACGATGACTAGGTTAAAATTTTACAAAAACCACCATATCTATATCTATCTAGTCATCTTCTATCCCTAGCGCTCCTTTCCTCGGCCCACGGTGCCGGCGTCGCCCAAGTCGGCCTCCACCTCCGCCCGAGCACGCCTCCCCATCGCCGATTCGCTGCCCCACACCCCGGCCCACTTCCCGGCGTCCCCGCCCGCCAGCACACGCACAGGCAGCGGTGGCAAGCCAACATCACGTGCCCAGGACCTCCTGGCGCCGCCCGTGGCCGCCATCGAGCGTGCGGACGGCCAGCGTCTTGGCGTCAGCAGGGAGGAGTAGGATGTCCAGGGGCGTGGGTGTTCGGGGGCCAGAGGTAACGATGATGGGTTGGCCGCCTCTACATCGGGGGGCGCGGCGCATGTGTGGCAAGGCACATGCGGCGGCTGCACACAGAGCGGCCGAGCAGCGGTGGCTCGAGTGCGCAAGGCGAGTGTTAGGGAGCTTGCTTGTGGTGCAGCCGCGGGTGAGCTGGCCTTCTCCATGTTAAAGCAGCGGAGCTTGTGGCCAACTATGGCTTGCTCATCCGCGAGGGACCGTCGTTCGCCGCCGCAACCTCCTCTGCTCCATGGTCGCCTTCATCAGCCATCTTCATGAGCCTCGTAAGCGTGGTGGATGGTGGTGGATGATGACCCGCGGTGCCCGAACCCGTCCTGCTCAGCGGCCGTTGTGCCAGAGGCCCAGAGCTGGTTGATGAGGTGGCCGCCGCCGAGGACTTGTCGTCGATGTTGCGCAACAGCAACGTGAGCAGCCCGTAGATGCAGCGCTCGGACGGCGAGGAGGCCGCAGTAGTTGAGGACGTGGGTCATGGGGTGGATCTCGCCGCCGTGGACGGGCTTCCGCAACGCTTCGCCATGGACGGGCTGAACTCCTCAATCGTGTGGCCCACGGTGGAGCCCAGCTGTTGGACGGTGCTCGAGACCTCTCGGTGGCGCGCGACGTCGTCGGAGAAGAGCGCCTCCAGCCCCGACTGCACGTCGGAGAGCACCCGCACCTTGTACATGCCGAGCGTGCGGTACAGTTTCTCGATGCCCGTGTCCGCGAAGGCTAGCAGCTACAGGATGCAGCCCCTGACGACGTCAATGAAGCACTCGTGGCCGAGGTCCTCGTCCGAGCAAGGAATCCACACCGCCGATAGGCCATCCTTGCCGTGTCGTTCTGCCAGGCCCCACTGCCTGGACCACCACGGCATCTCCATCTTTCACCGACGACCACGGCACCGCGATCCACATGGCCATGACCTCGCTGAGCACCACCCTTGTCGCGCCAAGCCATACGACGGGCTGGTATGTGGGTGCGGCGGCGGCACAGCGGGCCAGTCTTGGAGCAACGCGTGGACGTCGGTGTGGGTGGAGGAGTGCTGGAGGTAGTAAAAAATTATCCCAGTCAACGTCCGCTGAGGGGGTATGGACCTCCAGTGCATGACTAAACAAGTTTAGGGAGGCATATTTCGATTTTGGAAGTTCATGGACCTAAGTGACACATGCGCACAAGTTAAAGGGCCGACAATATATTTAACTCTAAATAAATCTACAAAATACAGAAGAGACCAAAATGCAAACGTTGTACTAATTTCGTGGAATATCAGATGGCGGCTAGAGTCGCTGTGACTAGAAAGAGCCAGCCGACCTGCCTGACCAATCAACAAGTTCTCTGAATTTGGTGGAATATCAGATGGTTAAACACTATCGTCCTGCTCGCTTGGCTTATAAGCCGTATTTTTTCCATCGACGAACAATATTTTTCTCTCATAACAAATCAGTCAACAATACTTTCAATCATGGCTTATCAGCCAAGCGAACTATAAAGTCAAGTCAAAAGTTTCATTTGCTTGCTGGGGAGATCACACGCGGAAACACAGTGCTAAATACCTTTGGTGTCCCCGTAACGCCAACAAATTCTTTCATTCGGAAGAATCTGCGGTTGTATGCGTCGGCAAGAGACCTCTCCATTTAGGACCATCAAATTTGTAGAGTTCTTGTATTCAGGTGAAAGAAACAAATTTAGGGCTTGTTTGGTTTCCTCCTGCTAAAGTTTAGCTGTTTAGTCACATTAGTATCCCAAGGAGGTGCTAAAGTGGGCTAAAGTGCCCAGTAGACAGGAGCTACCCCTCATTATTGCTGGTCCCTCACCCTGATTTGTGTATTCATTAGGGATAGTTTAGTCTTTGTTGAACTGTTTTAATGGCCTTTTTAATTTTATTCCCTAGAACCAAACATGGGTGACTAAAGTTTAGTCATTGGTTTTAGTAGCTAAATTTTAGTCATGGGAAAACAAACAGGGCGTCAATGGGTGTACATAAACAACATATGAGCAAAAAATGCTGAAGAAACAAGTATTATTATTCGTTTTTTCCTTCTTATTCTGTATAAGGATAACATAGATTATTCTGTGGGGGTCTTTTACATGTGTGAAAGAACAACTGAATCAAGCGCACCAGAGTTAAAAGAATGTCACTCAGAATGGCCAGGGGATAAAAAGAAATTTGGACATTCCTCAAGTTCTTGCCAGCTTCCATCGTGTGCAAACGCTTGAATGAAGAATTTCAGACCAGTGATTTCGTTGGAGACCTCTAAGCCCGATACGTAGAAGGCATCGACACTAGCAACTCCAAGATAGCTTCTGGGAGCTTTCATGTCTGAACCTGCCGTCAACTTCTCCACATAGATATTGTACTTGCTGAATGGTGGTTGTCGTTGATCAGGGGTCTTCAGCTTCCAGCTGATTTTCAGACTCACAAGTTCAGATCCGTAAGAACTTTTTGACCATGAGATGTAATCCCTTCAGTTACCCAAGATTCTGCTGAGGAACTCTGTGTTTTTGTCAGTATTTCGAATACTGATGTGGCCTAGTGATGCTTGATACAGTGATGATCCATCGACATCTTCTTCCAAGATGCTACCATCTTCTGTTTCTGGACTGATTTGGCCAGTAAATTTCAGTGTGCAGACAATGTTGATACCAGTTAACGTGTAGCCAGCACTAGACCAAACAGTTGCTTTGTAAGGACCCAGTCTTGGTTATCTGGAGAATGTCGTTGCACAAGGACCCAATCTTGGTCACCTGGAGCATGTAGCTCCACCTTATCGGCTTTAACATATGATCCATACTTGTGATTTTGTGTCTTTCTGGTGAATGTTGCTATGTCCTCTGCAACAAGAATTGATGTACCCTGCTTGTTTCGAGAAGACAGATCCAGGGACAACCCTAGAGCAGAGTTTGCATTGGCTCTTACCTGAAACAAACCACCAAAAGATGCAAAATCATGAGGCTGGAAAGACAAGGATCCATTGAGAAATAGAACACAACGGTAAAGGGACTAAGGGTGCCCATGCAGTAGTGCAGTACCACTGTGAACGCATTTCTCCATTCACATTCAGGGGATTTTGTCAATGTTGGTAACAATAAACAATCAATATAGTTCATGTGATTCAGTTTTATATTTCCAAGGAATTAGATGATCAGTAAGAAACCAGTTAAGATAACACAATAAATGTAACACATTTTTTTTCTAACCGAATAAAATAGATGAACAGGTCCATCTTCCATGGCAAGTCCTCCATTAAAAAGCCGTTCTGAGAAAACAATGTTCTGCCGAAGAGTTCCTTTGGCTGTCAAACAATTCCCTCCACTGTAAGGTCCATCCTTAAAACTATTAAGCATCCAGCAAAAGAATGTGAATGGAAAATAATTGGGATGATTAATTTGGAAATTAACATAAGGAAACATTACTAAATGTACAAGAAAGATAAATGTTGTGTGCACTAATGAAATCATCCAGTTCAATTGTCCGGAAAATTAGAATTAAATGTATAGCCAGCATGATTAGCACAAATGCAGAATATAAAACTAAAGGTTCATGATTGGCACACAAAGAATAATATAAAATCATAGTTGATGTAAACTAATCGTGAAATTAACCAGAAAGCTTAAGTTTGCTTCTAATAGTAACTGAACTAAGTGGAACAAATACCCTATGTGGCCATGACATGTGGCAGTAAACACTTCGAATAATGCATTCCAAAACTTTTTGGGGCTCAGATTTCTCTCTTGTTCAGCAAGCTATTTTGGTGACATGCTAATTTGTATCATCTTAAATAAAAGATGATGCTTCATTTACACAATGAAACCTAAAGTCGAAATATTTAAGCAGTTATGAGATGCAAGTGCAAGTACTCCCTCCGTCCCAAAATAAGTGTCGCTTTTGGTTTCCGTGCCGTAAGTTTGACTGGATTTGTAGAAAATACGTGCAACATTTGTATCTCCAAATAAATTTATTATGAAAATAGATTCAACAATCTATCTAATGGTATTAATTTTGAACCATAAATATTATTTTTTTATATATATATTTAGTCAAAGTTGTTTCTCAGGAAGCGAAAACGACAGCTATTTAGGGATGGAGAGAGTAGGTGATAAGTTGCATATTTCAGTAGCCTTGAGTTCTAACCTGTATTTCTTGCTTAAAAAATAATATAAATCAGGCACCTCACTTTTCATCTTAATATAAGAAATGAAAACTGTATACAAGAATTCAATAAACATGAATTAAAATGTAGCCAAAGAAGACGTGAACTTACTCCGTATAGGCTTGTAGGTGAACTTGATCTCTGGTGTATTTAAGCATAGGCTGAGAAAAAATATGGGACATTGTCACAGTGAGCTTCAGGATGGTTTGATACATGCCAGCTTTCATAAGAAGCAAATTTCAGAAATGGGATAATGACACAGCTAACATTCAGATGGTACGCAAAAGGCTTTTTTTTTTGGATCCGTTAATGTAAGTTGGGGAAACTATAGATTGATTATTGAAGGACAAGAACGTGTACATATATATAGGTGAGGATAGGGGCGGCTTATGGAAACACAACCGACCTCCAGTATCCTTGCGTAATTCAGCTCAATCTACTAGAGACCCAGACTTGGAGTCCAAATACAACTCCACAGCCCTAGCCGACCTCTATACAGAGATCAGGCCGGCTGGACATGAGTCCATATGGCTGAAGCTAATAAGGCCTAAGGCCCATAACATAGCCCTGTCTAACAGTTAATCTGAGTCAGCGTGCATATACAACGATACATGGAAGCATAACTCAACAGAACATGTTGACAGCATGCTACCTGGAAACTTTGGCAAGAAATATTGTTCCATGGATCGCTGGAGATTTGCAACCCTTCAACGGATACCTGATAACCATGACCCTAATGGGAACAAAAGTTTCCAGTGCATCAATATTTCTGAACAAGGAGAAAAACAGGGATATACATTTTTTGACATTTGGCAGAGGAACTGCAAAATCTGGAGAGATGGCGTGCAGAAAATAAAAACATAAACAATAAATTCAGATACAATTGACTAGATGTTTCCAATCATCACATATGCTGCCAAAAAAATTGTATTTTGTGAGCATAGTCTACATAGACAACTGAGAGAACCAAACTTAAAGAATGACAGACTTTGAAAGGTAGTAAACTTATAGGATAAATGCTCCTGTCTGCTGAACAAAACTTGTGGGTATGAGCACCTGAGTGCTCCTAGTCTAATATTGGAAGTATTAAAATAGTTATTCATGGCACTTAGAATCAGCATTAATGAGTCAGGGATTTGCAAAAAATGCTACATAACATATAATCCCGATTACCAAAACATGCTGCACTGTATTGCCAGATTCTGAGTACATATATATACCAGTCTTCCACACCCAATATGATAAACTGATAAGGAATGTAGATAATTAGTCCAATACCTGATTAAAATCTGAGTAGAACGGTAACTGTTCTGGATAGCCCCGAAGAATACCCCATGATTTTTCAACAAGGCCCCACCAACTGCACAGTTACTTGGTAAATACATTGCAGAAAGTGCAACAATAATAGCAGAAAGAAGTCAACAACACATTACTGATTCTGTGCGCTCTGAAAGTCAGGTGGTTGCTTAGTTTCATATACCCATCCAGGAGCAAATATGGCAGCTGAGATATCAACTTTCTTAAGTAGATCAAGGGCAACATTTGTCTAGCAAAATGCAAGATTGGCAGTAAGTCAAATATTGGAAGGTGAGAAACTGGAAGATAGTTTAGATAAAACTATAAAAGCAAAGTAGCGATATGTACAACTGAGGGTTTCAGTGGCGGAGCATGAACTAAAATTAAGGGGGTGCAATCGCGAAGGTGCGAGCCCAAGGAGCTGATATGCACGAGGAGACACCACTCGCCATATTTGACCACCTACAGTACCTTCTGTGGCGCTGAGGAGCACAAGAGAGAGCAACCTCGGTGGCTCTAGCAAACGTTGTAGAAGTGCCGACTGCAGACGGCCTAGGTCTCATGTCATCATAAAACTATCTAGCAAAGCCTACTCAATTCAGGAATTAGCATAAAGAGCTATCTTGACGAGCAAATTATGATAGTGGGACATCTCAATCTGTACCAGTGTGATGCACTATACTACTTGCATAGCTAAGATGGGAAGTCAAATCATAAAGAATAATCGACGAAAAGACTAGCTGCAGTCCCTTCTTCCTGGGCAACTGGTACTCTGTGAGCGCTACAACTGCCCAGATTAGCAGCTGGCAAACACAGCAGTAGTCATGGAGGAAGACACGGTGTTCGAGAATCTTTTCAGAGGAGGGGGCACAAGCCCAGGCTTACAACTTTACATTTATCAACTGTATATAAATGAGTTCTCCCAACAGAAAAAAGAAATGTATACGCAATACAGTAGTAGTAATTTGATTGTTGTCTAATCAGAACATTTACGTCTACAGTCTGATAAAGGTGATCATCTAAATACTTTAGCATCCATGGTTGCATCAAGGTAACACTAAGTGTGAGAAATTTGTATAGGTACAGTTTGTCATTTCATTAAGAAGAAAAGGTACAAAAAGGAGAAGGGGGGGAACCGACTCAGTCCATTAATTATCTAGGACGAGTGACCTGCTTCTGCAACGTGGAGGCCCCTGCCAAGCACCACAGGGCATCCTCATTGGCAACCAAATGTAGTACCACTTCTATGTTAGGTCTAGCACCCTCAAACACACAAGCATTCCGGTGCTTCCATATTTCCCAAGCAACTTGGGTGACTACAGTTTAGTTTTGGGTAATAATTAGGTAAAGCTACAAGAATTTTGTTAGTATAAGAATGGACCATCTGTATTAGATAAAAGCAGAGAACACATACAGTCCACTGACCACCACCAAATGCATTTCGTCCAAAAACATCAATACCCACGTATACATCATATTTCCTGTTTCCAGCAACTGCAGCTGAATCTTGTGGGTAATTTTCCTGCGATTGTGATGCCAATTTCAGCAGACTATCACTTAACATTTTAAGTGGCCGCAGAAGTTGCAGGAAATAAAATAAGAAGAGAGGACTACCTTCCATGTATAGTTGGAAAATAACCCATCACATACATCAAAGAATGGCTTATTGTACTTGTTGAGCTTATCCTGCCAATCAAGGTCACCATTCACAGTGATTGCGTCATACCTGCAGAGGCAAGTAAAAGCCAAGAAGCATCATCAACCAAGCTTGATAACTACAGCCTGTCATGTTCATAGTTACAAAACAGTAGGAAAATAAACACCACCATATGACTAAAGATCCAGGAACTGCATCGTGCATTGTCGTGGTTAGATGCTTGATGAATTCTTTCAGGTTATCGATGAAGTGAACGTCAAGCTTGACCTCAACGTTAATCTGAAAGACGATTCAATATTAGCATCCAGCAGCAGGCACATATCCAGCAATCACAAGATGGCATAACAGAAATTACCAGCCAGCCATCAAATCCCAAGGTATGAGCCAGCTCTGTGAGCCTTTCGGCATACATCTGTGCAGAAGCCTCGGTCGCGAGCATCTCCTTGCAAACCTCCACGCCTTTATCCCACTCTGTGATGAACGTCCCTAAAACCTTGGCACACAGACAACAGGGGGAGGGGGAAAAAAAGCAAGCTCAGTTGAGCTGACTGAGTCAAGAGCCGAAGCAGACGGAGTAGAAACAAGGCGAAGACCTTGACGCCGTGGAGGTGAGCGGCGTTGATCCAGCAGGGCGGCGGGAGGGTGACGAGGTAGTGCGAGAAGTAGACGAAGACGTCGACGAGGTGCCAGTGCCAGAGCGCGTAGGCGTCCGGGTTGGCCCCGCCCTGCGGCGCCGCGTCGTCGCGGTATCCGCCCTCCATGTCGTGGCAGACGAGAACGCGGCGGCGCTGAGGGAGCGGCGAGGCTGGCGCCGGGACGGAGGCCCTGTTGAAGGGGAGGTGGAAGTTGGCTGCGGTTGGGATTTGCCTTCAAATCTCTGCTTTCTTTGGGCCGGACCTAATATGGTGGGCTTTAAACTAGTTATATTTTTTTTCTTCTTTACGAATTTATCATGGGTCCCAAGTTTTTGACCTAATTCGTGACAACAAGCTTTTGCTATTATACAAACTAGTTCATCACGCGCGCCCTTGCGCACGTAGTATATTAGGACGATTATCATATATAGATGTAGAATTTTTGTTGGCAACGAATTTGTTTCTCTTTGACCACCGCTGACTAAATAAATTTAGTTTAGTATGTTCAGAGGAAATGCTGATAAGATGAGTAAGTTAATATGTAGACGTATGTAACCTGAAGATCCAAATGGGCAAAAAAGGAGGAGCACATACCTAGTTGATGCTGGTACCATTGAGAATCGACATATTGAATATGTAAGAAACCAGGAAGGCAAATGTAATCAGGAAATGACATCTGTGGAAAAACGTGAACAAACTGCACATATGAATACATTAGTGAACCACTAAATCAAAGAATTAATTGAACTGAGAGGTGGGAAATACACTGCCTATACACAGGTAACTGGACTGTGTAAGAAGAGACAACAAAGCTACAAGAATCTGAATTACCATTATGTCAATATTGTAAGTAACTTTTCATAAAAGAGATCAATCAGAAGAACAGGTAACATGAAAAATAGCAGCATTTATATAACCAAGACTGTAGATATTGCCAACAAAATATTTCTTTTCAAACTAACCTTTGAGTTTTAGAATTTCTGAAAGCGCTATGGTGCCAAACTCAAAGGCATTACCATTTCAATAATCAACAACTCAACTAAGACATTACATGGAGTAAGTAATGGGAAAATAAGCCGAGTAAACAGGCACACAAGAAATTGTATTATAGAAAATAGCTCAGGACTACATACTACATCCACATTTAGTGGAAAAGCAACACAAGTATACATACTGCAGAAACAGTCACTTAAAAAGCCGTGCTATCAAGGGATGCTAACCCAATTGTACCTGTAAAGATTGTCAATGTTGTTGCTCTTGCCGGATGCAGCAGCGATTTCCAAACCTGAAATGTAAGCCATGAAGTTCATGAATGATTTAACATATTTTCTTCCCAACAGAATTAGCAATCCAAATGAATGATGTGTAGATAAAATGGATTAGACTGAGGAATGAGGACAAAGTGGTTAAATCCAGGCAATCTTACCCTACGAATGAACGATGTGTACATAAAATGGGTTAGACTGAGGGATGAAGACAAAGTGGTTCAATCTAAGCAATCTTACCCGACACCATGGTTTTGAACTCAATAGCTAACTTGATGAGCAGGAAGGTTAACTAAACAGTAAATCTCCAACTACAAAGTGTCAACGATAATTAAACAAACGCTCAGAGCACAAACCTTATGAAAGCTTTGATGCTGTTGTAAATAGATATTTACTTCGCCAACTACAGAAACTATAGTACTAAAACTGTCATCAGCCAACACCATGTGAGATGCCCCTTTGTCAACCTATAACATTAGAGATTTGTTTTAAAAAAACTTCAAATTATGGCTTGACAAAGTCATAATTTTAGAGATAAATCTTCGTTGTGGGCAGCACAACATATAAATTCATTTCCTATAGAGTAAAGCTGATGCTGTTAAGCAGCGTCCGTTGGCTATATTTATAAAACAAGAAACATAAGAAAGCAGTTATTCTCTGGTGACCTACGGCACACCCCTTCCAATAACAACAGTTCTTGGAATTTAATTGTCTAAAAACAATTGTTTTATAGGCTTAGCAGAATTGATATGGCAATTCAAAAGGCTGACAGGTCTATGTACATGACAACAAAAAGAAGTGATTTGAGGTGAATCTAGTAAGATGTAAAACTAAGTATTTACCTGAGTTCTAGTAATGCCAAACAGAATTAAGATGACAATTCAAAAGGCTGGTAGGTGTATGGCCATAAAACTAAAAAAATGTGATTTGAGTTGAACCTAATAAGATGAAAACCTAAGTATTTACCTCAGTTCCAATAATGCCCATAGCTAATCCTCCAGAGCCTGGTAATAGTACCTGAAACTAACCATCTGGCATATGCATAGGTAGAAAGATGATCTGCAAAATAAACGCTCGAGTAATTATAGTTTAGATTTTTAAAACTATATACACCTTGGAGTTGGGCTGCAGGCATCTTTGTAGGTGAAATAGAGGCTAGCAAAAGAGGTTAGGAAAACAATAGGCAGTAACCATATCTCATAGCGGTATTCCATCAAGCAAATGGTATGCAACTCATATAGAATCATTCACACCTAGCTAAGATACAAGATGGCATGGTCATGTCAGCACAGGTCAAATAAATTGTACAGGTCGGTGAAAGAACACCCTTGCAGATGAAATACAGGTTAGCAAAACGAAAGGTACAAACTACATATCACATGGGCATTCCATCGAGCACATGTTCTGCAACTCTTATACATCGACATTTCATTGAACACATGTTATGCAACTCCTACAGAGTCATTCACATCTAGCTGCAAATACAAGATGCCATGCTCATCTCAAACACATGTCAAAGAAATTGTAGAGGTTGGTCAAAGAACACCAAATCCGAACAAAAATAAAAACCTAACACGCCATATATGTTGCCTCCTAGAATAAAATGTATAGATCCATCCATACATGTTGTGTGACCTTTTGTGCAGGTGGAGAAACTAAAGAGGGGATGACCAGATGGTTCGCTGCCATGGGGTCATGGGTGCGCAGCCGCGACCAGCACGCGCAGGGTGGCCCTCCTGGCAAATGGCGCCGGCGGCGGCTTCACAGCGGAAGCAGAGCATGCCGGGCATTAGCTCCTGCTAACGAGTGGCGTCGGCAGCCCAGGTCCTGTGCACCACCGCCGAGGGGCCCTATATGCCACCGCCTAAAACCCTAGCCCTAGTAGAGGCAAGGCAACGAATCCGGTAAAGACAAAACAAAAGTTAGACAACAAAGAAATCATGAACTGAGGAGGCTGTAGATGAGGCTGACACTGTGGAGAAGGCGGAGCAATGGAGCCGACGATCGGAAGAGGCGACGCTGGCGATGGAGAGGGGCGGCGCTACGAAGACGGAGCGGCGACGCGGGTGCTGGCTCCTGCCAGCACACATCGCGGGGAGGAGGTCGCGGCCAGGCCTGTCTGGTGTGCCGCGGCGAGGAGGGATGGGGGAGGGGAGGCGGCGGAGGGAGGAGAAGCGCAGGGAAGAGGACGACGGGTGGGGGGCGACGGGCTCCTCGTAAGCTGACAAGAGGATAAGGACGCCTTTTTTCGGTGGGAAGGAGCTTCAATCCACTCCGTGAATTCAGGATCGGACGCGTTAAAATTTTTTTGCTGTCGTGGACAGGCTAGGAGGCGGCCAAAGGAAACTGCTTTGATAAGAGTAAATTCTATACAACAAACAGAAATTCAAGGTGGCTATATAGTGAGAAATTATCTTTGCGGAGAGACACCAGCAGAAATCAGATGGAAGTGAAGAGAGGCAGACAAGTAGAGAGTCGTCGATGGGTTGAACATGCATGTATATATACGGCATGTTTGCTTGTTGGTTTCAGCCAGCCCAAACCAGCCAGCCAACAGTATTTTTCTCTCAGAATAAACCAGCACCAGCCAGCCCAAACCAACCCAGAAACCAACCAACGAACAAGCCGATAGCCTTCTTAAAAAAACATGTAATCTTAAAAAAACATGTAAATATATAAAATCTACTATACTAAAAAAACATGTAAAAAAAACATGCATGTTCTGTGGAGTGAAGATGGGAGGACCGATGCCCCGCACGCCTTGTTGCTTGCGGCATCAGTACCCTGCACGGCACGGGCGGCAAAAGTCATGGATGATGACAGTGCATTATGTGTATGCTAGGGTAGATATTAAAGTTTTCATTTCTTTGGATCGACCCAATGAAACTCGTTCAAATAATTGAACTGGGTCACGAATTCCAAACCAAGAGGGGGGCATTAATAAGGGTATGTTTGGCGAAACTTCACTAGATTCATATCCAGGTTTATTTTTTTATAGCTATACATTTCCTGATCCAGCAACTCCACCATAGATCTGGTCTGGTGGATCTTCCTCTAGATTCATCAAATTGGTGGATCTCTCCCAAATTTATCAAATTATTATTGCAAGTTGCCATGTCGTCCTTTCTTCGACCCGGAATTGATTTAAATTTTTCTTACACGTGGGTTACTACAAGTTATTGTACGGAGTCCCGCTGTTGATGGTAGATATACCTCTCGCATGATCTGCATGACTGAATGTGTTACTCTTATCCTGTTCAACTAAAGATTCCTCGTGTTAGGTTTGGTTTTCATTGGAAGCAAAGATCTGGCACTACTACAGGTTCGACCTTTAGTGTCGGCCCATCTGTGCCGATTACTATTGAAAAGGCAGTGATAACTCTTCACTGTCGGTTCTTAACTTCAAAATCAGAAAATGATTGGAGTTCCCAAAATCCGGCAATGAAGATCCATATCACTGCCGGTTGGTGCCTTGAACCGACAGTGGTTTCATATATCACTGCCGGTTCGTGGCTTGAACCGGCAGTGGTTTTGTGCTATTACTGTCGGCTTTTGGCTTGAGCTGACAGTAATAGCCCATAGTACAACAGCCGACGAGCTCCTCCTTCCTCCCTCCAATCCCGAGCACACTTAGGCAAGAAGGTGCCTTTCCCCACTCTCCCTCCATTGTTGTGGCTATTCTTCACCAAAATGCTCAATGAAGGTCTTGGATTTTCAGGCGTGAGAATGATCTTCTTGCTTTAAGGTCAGTAACAATCATCCACTCTTTTGAATTTGTAGCTTTACAATTGTTTTGATAGCTAGATTACTTGATTTTTATTCTAGTTATTTCTCTATGGCCTTCAATTTTCTTGTAAAAAG